AGAAAACAATTACCGTTGATACACAAAACATTTCATAATTTCTACTCAATTTATTTGAACATGTCCTTTTACTTTTTTGTGTGTATTTTAACATGTGGACATAATCTTAGCTTATGTTGTCAGTAAACCAGTATAAGAATTATAGGAATTTAGAATGACAATCCCAAATCTCTATAAAAAGTAAAACATACCCCACACTGGCAAAGTGAGGTGAAAACATATGCCTGTCTTCAAGTTAAAAGTATTGAGTCAGTCTGATCTGATGAAACAATCATTTGGATTATATAAACCTGGTTTCCTGTAGAAAAATGCTCCTGGGGGAACCTGGGCGGTTCAGTGGGTTAAGCAACTGACTCCTGATCTTGGCTCAGGTCATGATCTCACAGTTTGTGGGGTTGAGCCCCGTGAAGAGGTCAGCACTGACAGCACAGAGCCTGCTTGGGGTTCTCTCGCCCCCTCTTTCTGCCCCTCCCCCCTCTTGGATGTGCATGTGTGCTGTTTCTCTCAAAATAAATAAATAAATGTAAAATAAAATGCTCCTGAATTAGTTTTTGTTGAATAAATAAACATAAAAAAAATTAAAAAAAACCATAAGTGTTACTTAAGCTCTGGAAAGTACTCAGAACCGTACTCCTTTTGTAAGAGCATTTATCCAGAGGTAGGCAAAAATTTCATACTCATAACAACAGGACCCAGGATAGAATAAATATAGAACACAAAAATTCACCGGTGCAGATCTAAAATTCACTAATACAGACATTCGCCTTTCCAGAAGAAGAGAGAGAGATTCTTGCACAAATAGATGGATAAACAAAAAACTAGCAAACCAAATTGTGGAGCATTTCTCACCTGAAAGAAGAGAGATCTCTATCAAATAGACCAAAACACTAAATTCCGAGTCACTGTCAACTGTATTCATTTGTTATTGCTGTGCAACAGATGACCAGCAATTTAGTGGCTTCAACCAAAAAAACCCCACATGTCTCATGTCACAGGTTTTTGGAGCAAGGCTTAGCTGTGTTCTTGGCTTCAGGATCTCACCAGCTTGAAATCATTTTGATGGTATTGCAACCTCATCTACGGGCTTGACCGGAGGAGAATCCACTTCCAAGTGCACTCAGGGTATTGGCAGAGTTCATTGCCTTGTGGCCCTTTCCATAGGCACTTTGTCACGTGGCTGCTTACGTCTTTAAAGCCAGCAAGAGTCTCTCACTCAGGGGAGGTCCAGCCACTCTTTTAAAGCTTTACCTGATAACATCAAGCCCATGATGGATCATCTCCCTTTTAATTAACTCAAAATCATTTGCTTTGGGAGCTTAAGTATCTGCAACACCTCTTCATGCTTGCCTTATTCTGCAAGCTAGAAGTCACAGCTCCTGCCCATTCTTAAGGGGAGAGAATTATACAGGGTGTGAACCTCGTGGGGAGCAAAAGTTTTCAATTTTGATGCAATTCAATTTATTAGTTTATTAATTTTATGAATTATGCTTTTGGTGTTGGGTCTAAGAAGTCTGCCTAATTCAAGTTTACCAACCTTTTATATTTTTTTTTCTAATATTTATAGTGGTTCCCCTTACATTCAGCTTCTACGATCAATTTTGAGTTAATTTTGTTATGATACGAAGATCAGGGCCCAAACGTATCTCTATCAATGTGGGCCTCTAATTGTCCAACTTCATTTGTTGAAAACTAAAGAAAGATAATTTCTCCCATTGATTGCAAATTAATGTAACAGCCCCGCAGCCAGTCTTAAGGGTTAACTTGCTTCATGTTAACACCCTTCTTACTTACTGACTTAAGGCCCTTGATCTGTAAAAGGACTCATTTACTTTTTTTGAGATTTGCAGACCACTGGCCTTGAGGAGTGAAGGGCCCGAACTTTCCCAGGCCACAGCAGCCAGCAAGTCTGTTTAAAGCTGCCTCAGCTTTCTGACTAGCTTAGCAAGGTTTTAGCAAAATGCTTTTCTTTGTTTAGATCACGCTGATGATTTTACTGACCTCCCTTTGTGTATCTGTAGACCTTGCCCTCCTTTGAGGAAAGAACAGAGTACTCCTGCACGTCAACAAACAGGAACCGGACCTCCTTGCACAACCCCTGAGCACTGAGATAACATTTGGAGTGGGCATCATCAAGTCTGCACGTAATCAAGAAATGTTGCAGGCCACTGCACTCCTTTTGCTGGTTAACTACCCTAAACCTGTTAAAAACCCCCCTGGGTCAGGCAGGAAACCTCCGAGTTGGTTTTTGGACAAGAGTCTGCCTTCTCCCCAGGTTGCCGGCCTTCTGACTAAAGCCCATGTTCCTTTCTCATCAAAAACTCTCCTCCTGAGTGATGGCCTTCCAAGCGACTGGCAGCCGAACTTGGGTTTGGTAACACACTGACCAGGAATGTCAATATTAGTCCGGACTCTCAGTTGTGTTTCATTAATATATATGTCTATCTGCATGTGAATATTACACTATCTTGATTAATACATGCTAGTAGCAAGCTTCGATACCAGGAATTGAAATCCTCCAGATTTGTTCTTTTTAAAAAAACTCCTTTTGGCTAAAGGACGCCTGGGTGGTTCAGTCAGTTAAGCATCCGACTTTGGCTCAGGTCATAAACTCGTGATTCATAAATTCGAGCCCTGCATCGGGCTCTATGCTGACAGCTCAGAGCCTGGAGCCTGTTTCAGATTCTGTGTCTCCCTCTCTCTCTGTCCCTCCCCTGCTCATACTCTGTCTCTCTCTCTCTCAAAAATAAATAAAACATTAAAAAAAATCCTTTCAGCTATTCTGGGCACTTTGCATTTCCATATACATTTTAGACATAGTCTTTCACTTTCTGGGAATAGAGCCTGCTAGGATTTGATAGGGATTTCACTGAATATATAGATCATCTCTTCACCTGAAAAGACTCTGCATCCCAGATCTCAGTTTGGGTGGTCTTCTCTTCTCGCACAGATTTGGGATGAATTTAAAATGTAATTTTGGCAATTTATTCTCCTTATCCTGCTTGTTAGAGGAGGGCATCTTGCCTTTTCCAATCGGCTACATTCTACTCCTAAATGGAAGTTATCACAGGTTAGCTTTAAAGTGTCAAATAACACGGGATCAGAGGACTAAGTAACAACCTTCCCTGCCCTTTCTGTACCAGACAGGCAGGATCGCAGGTAGTAGATAAACTCTTCACAAAGACTGCAGGGAGAGGGTATCATTATTGTCCACATCTTACTGGTGATCATACGGAGGGGAGGCAGAGAGTGGTTTTAAAGCAGTGTCCAAGATCAGAGATACATGAAGCAGGCAATCTGGGTTTCTCATCCTGGCAGTCCAGCTCAAGATCTTCTGCTAAAAACAATTACTACTATTGGGGCACCTGGGTGGCTCAGTCGGTTAAGTGTCTGACTTCAGTTCAGGTCATGATCTGGTGGTCCGTGGGTTTGAGCCCCACGTCGGGCTCTGTGCTGAGAGCTCAGAGGCTGGAGCCTGCTTCCAATTCTGTGTCTCCCTCTCTCTGTCCCTCCCTCGCTCACACTTTGTGTCTGTCTCTCTCTCTCTAAAATAAATAAACATTAAAAAAAAATTAAAAACAATTACTACAAAAACTGAAACTGAATGAAGTCCAGGGTAGAGGTTGATTTTAACATCTGTTAATCTTAAAAAAGGAGTTACGACAAATGAAACAAAATAAAAATGACTATTCATATATGAAAAAAATCTGGAATTGGCAATGGAAAACATGCGTTCTTTCGAAATGCCCAAAACTATTTACAAAACCTTTGAATGTTTTAACTAAATATTAATACCTATTAAATAGACTCAAAAGAGAGACTTTCTCAAAGTCCTAAGCATGAAAGATATATTTGATAGCTATTAATAAGGGGTTGAAAAAGCCTACAGGGGGGATTTGAACCAGGATCATCTCTGGACACTGACTTTACATTTTGGAAATTATAGAACAGTAATTCCGTCCATGAGATGCATATGTATTTGTGTGTGTGTGTGTCTGTGTGTGTGTGTGTGTGTGTTTATGAGCTTCTAAATAAATAAAGTTATATATAAGTATTAATTATCAGCAACCAGCTTTTGGAGAGAATTGTCTGTCTTTTCTGGATGCTTTTGATAGGAAAAGCTTGAATTCTTCCTATGTACATCTGGCATTAAAAAAGTAATAATAAGTCCATAGCACTGTAGACCGTAGCTATGACCCAGCTCCGTGAAATAGCTTGTGGACATTCACTGTTTGTTCTACATACTGGAGTTTTAAATTTTACTATCTAACAACTACAGTTGGTGAACACAAATTATGGAAAAGTTAAACAAGGAAAAAGTTGCAAATACTATGTCCTTATTTGCATGTTAACAAATGTGAACCCAGCTTTCACCTCAACACCAGTTATGAAATAATCCAACCGTGGCAAGGACACACAGTGTATGAGTGGGAGTCACTTTAGCCATTTGGGAATAACAAGGGTTTTCATCAGGACAGCACTGAGCTCATCTATTGGCCTACCCTGGGGCTTTCCTGCTTGACATTGGTCACAAAATTTAAAAGAAATGAGAACTTTACTGCACACTTAGGGATCAGGTGCACAACCAGCGACATCAGACATTAGACTTAGACATTTTTTGTTTGTTTTCCTTTCTAGACATGGTAACCGCGCTACTGAGCATTTTTTCCATCGTGGTAATAATAGAATTTCTCCTAGGAAATTTTGCCAATGG